AAATGAGTTCTTTCAGTAATATAATTTATAATTCTCTTTTAATTCTCAAACGATACACGCATATCGTTATTAATATTTATAATATAATTGAGATATGGCATAAAAATAAGTTGGAATTTGTCATGCACATCTTCATGATCATGATAAAATAATACATAGGACATAGGATGATCCTGATTAATCATACAACACGTAGTACGTATATGTACGTATATGCATACATCCATTTCTTCAGTCTTTCATAAATAATTTTTTCAGACAATACCTTTTTTTTCCTTTTTATTTCTCAATCACATCGTGTTTTACAAGAATTAAAAAATAAGTGATTCATAAAAGTAGAATCGTTAATATATGCAATAATGTACTGTAACAATACTTTGTAATAAGGTATACAGTCGCAAGTTATTTGTTTTACATAATTAACGAATTTCCTATATTGACAAAACATGAAAGCATGTTAGAAAAAATATAGTGCACAGGCACATATTCATATTTGCTATACACAACGGAGAATTTACTGCACATTTTTCATAATCTTTCTCTTCGTCTAAGCATCGATTTAGTTTTAATGTTTTTACAAGAGCGTGCTTTGCTAAAATAAAAATATAATCGAAAACATTAACACAAAGAAACATAAGAGCTATATGTTACTTTCTTTAAAATATTGCTTTGTAGGAATCTTGTATATGTGTACGTGTGTGTGGGTGTGTGTGTATAATCTACACTCTACACTACAAGCACACGTGGAATGAAATTTTACGATATCGACTATTATACGTCTAAGCATGATAAATCAAAGACGGAAAAGTAATGATCATCGTAAGATCCGATGTACATACACGAACAACTTTTTGCTGCATAATTTTATGTATATCTCTTTTGTTTTAAATTGCAAAAGCAAGTAAAGACGTACGACTATGCACCAAAAAATTGCACGTCTGTTAAGGCTAACAGATTAAGGTTCGTAATATAACGATCAACAGTAAATAACTATGTTTTTCTTTTTCGGTTCAAGTTTCTTTCAGTAGACTGTATCTATTCTCTCTCTCGCGTCATCATTTCTTTCATTTTAAAGCTGCCAAGTTTGATTAAATTCGTGCACGTTTTTCTAACGATTGCGTTAAAGCCTTCGCGCCTCCTAACTGAGTAATAAAAACGTGCATACGCGTACGCGTGGACCCCAGTACTCTGTACTCAATACGCGTAACATTAAATATAAATATGAAACAATATTGTAAATAACAAGTATGTAGTTCTATAAATTCAACTAAATTCTATGTACATAAAATCATTATACATATATATGTATACATATAATCTTTATGGTACGATATCTTACGTTGGTAAAGTTCATATAATAACTCTAAAATCCACGTTAATATTTTTCGTTGCGCATTACTATCAAATTTATAAACTATCGAAAAATACTTACTTGGTCCAATGAAACGAGTAGGATCAAATGCTTCTAACATGAGCTATACTTATGTATCGACAAATGCTAAAACTGCGAAAGCTAAGGGACGTTTGTTTCATTGTACTTTTTATACTCTAATAATTCTAGTCCAATGATAATTGTTCTGCGTGCCCGTATCTATTCTCTAGGCAAATATTTTTGATTGAAATGTGAATAGTTGCTGGAATGATTTGCGTATGCTTATACCGAATAGTTGGTGGCATTCAAAATAATGTATACAATTGTTGTTCTTAATCAAAGTCGTTACTATATCTGACCCACTCGTATCGATAACAATAATTCAACATGATTCTAAACAAAATAAATTTCATTTTTCAGTCTTGATTTCTATTGTTGCCGGTTAGTACTGTTACTGCTGCTGATATTACTGCCGTTGTTATTATTGTTAATCGGATTGCTGCCGCTGCTGTTATTGACGCTGTTGTGGTGATGATGTTGATGGTGATGGTTATTGCTATTTAGCGTTGCGGTAGTGGGACTACCAATGTTGTCTATCTCTCGCTGTGCGCGTGAAATTTTTACTTTGTCCCTCGGTGTTCCATCCTCGCCGGTTTCCATCGCGAACATCTTCATCTTTTCTTTGAAACTGAGTTTCTCAGGTACTTGTCCAACTTGAGAATTTTGTTGCTGCTTTTGCTTCTCTGCGAGCCGTCTTTGTCTTGGATCCCTAAACAAATTGATCGAACAATACGTTATGCATCTTTTTTGGGGCGAGAAATATGTACTAGTTTAAATAAAATTGATATAAAGAATATGACGTTACTTGTACACTTCCTGGGCGCCTATTACGCCGGGTGTACTAGAGGTAATCGAAACCGCGCCGGATCCGTCGGGTGTTTTTGGAGATGCCAACAAAATTTCTGCATCATTTATGAAATTCTGGAAATAAACGATAGATGCAATTTTCAATCTCAGTTGATGTATTCAAAAAACAATATTATTACAGCATTTTACATTTGGATCTTCTGTAATAACATCCATAGCTGTAGTTAAATTTCCGGACGACATGTTTCGTTGCATTTCTACATTCGCATTTGAATCATGAAAGGAGACTCTTTTCACGGATGTTGACTGCGGTTGAGATGTCAATGTCATTACACTAGATACGTTCGTATTGTTTGATCTCAGTGCACTCTGCTGCGACATAATTGCATAACTGGATCCCCGTTCGGGAGGCAAAGGCGCCTCGTTGTTACCATTCTGCGTAGCTATAAAGTAAATGTATTATTTTAGCTATTAACAATGGCAACGTATTAATTTTCATCTGAATACTTACAAGAGATGTTTGATCCATTAATGGCAAGGCTATCCAATCGCAACATGCTAGGATGTAACATTTGTTGAGTTTTAAGGTGGGACTGCGATTGTTGCAAACTATGTTGTTGCTGATATATTTGTTGCTGGATTTGTTGCTGCTTATTAGCTTCCTCGTCTTTCTTTTTGGATTGTATATCGTCGAATTCGACTTGCTTTCGCTTAATTTCTTCAGGTCTACGATACATCTCTCTATCTTCGATGGATTGAGATAAGCTAAGAGGTTTTTGAGAATGAATTAAGGATGACATCGACATTTGACCTGCATTATTTTGTACTTGATTAGTTTGTTCATATTGATAATCCGCTGATAAATGCATTCCAGAATTATCTTGTTGTTGTTGCTGCTGTAAGCAAGACGTTGGCGCATTCTGCAAGCATTGCTGAGGAGTTCCATTCCCTTGTGTAGTAGAATGCATCGAAGGTGCACCAAGCGATTGAGTAACATGATTGCCTCTGACAGATTGATTCATTACATTTGTTCTAGACAGATTGAGATGTTGTTCCGATGAATTGTTTCGATCTTGAGTCACTGTTCCACGAAGTAAGTCTTGCTGAACTCGAATATTTTCAGTGTCTAAATCATTACTTTCCTCGTCATCGTCTTGTTGGTTGGCAACTTCTTCGGCTCTTTTCTGAAAGTCCCTTTCTAACTGGAGTGCTCGCAGCTGCTCTTCCTGTTGTGACGTTCTATGAGGTAATGCACTCAATTCTGCTATTTGCTGATCTCTCCACTGTCTTGCAGCTTCTCTTCTACGCGCCTGTTCCTATATAACAGCAATAAGAATGTAAAAATATTGAAAATTACAAAAGTAATACGAACTACGATTTATATTCTGTCCTTTCGTTCAATTCTATGCCTACCCTTTCTTTTTCTTCTCGCTGCCATGGATTCGTAGCACTATATTGATACTGACGTGGTTGTAATGTAGCTCCGGTTACATTTGTTGGATAGTATCCTCCACGGGGAGGATCCTGCATACTAGCTGTGTACCTAGATGAAAACATTTAATTTCTTATTAATTATGCATTTTATTTACTTTCCCTAACTAGACAATAAAATTTTTTAATCTTCTATTACCTTGAGTCGGATTGTTTACTATAAAGAGGATGTGTCGCAGTGCTTGGTGGTGGCGGTGGTGGACTTTCTGTATATCCTTCCTCTGATGGAATGGGTCGTATAGAGATTTCATTCGGAATCGAACAGCTCGAGTCCTGCGCAGTTTGTGCTCTATTCATTCCACTATCACCAGTGTAATGATCGTTCCGCATATCCGAATAATATTGAGAGTTAACAGCAATATGCTGGTTCTGATCCATATAAGATTTCCCAACATCTTGAGTACTTTGATCTCTTCCGTAGTCGAGTAGCATCCCATTCGGCTGCAGACGAGACGAGTCGGGTTTTCCCCTCGATGATGCAGTACCGCTGTGTCCGTATTGGACGTGCCCCAGATTTTGTTGTTGCATGTTCTGATGCTGATGTTGATGTTGGTGCTGGTGCTGATGTTGATGCTGAAGTTGAAATTGATGCGGATGTTGATGCGGGTGTTGGTGTTGATGCACGTGATGAGATTTTCCATATTGGACCATGTATGGAGCATATTGCGTATCCAAATAACCGTAACTAGAAGCAGTCGTTTGTCTGGATGCAGCATGAGCAGACGGCGAGGACACAGTTACTGGTGGACTTGATCCCATATTCGGTTGAAGTACGACAGACTTCGTCGGCCGGATGGCAGAACTCATCATTGATTGGATAGGCGTATTTGGTTTTAGATTATACGCGGCTGGTCGGTACTGATTCGACGGAACTGGAATACCGCCTCGTAGCTCGCGTCTTCTAACTTCCTCTTGCATTTCCTGAAGCTTAGCTTCCTGTCGTATTATATCCCGTGAGGACTGTGACCTAAGAGGCGCTACAGAGCCTTGTTGTTGTGTTTGGCCAGGGCTGAAGTACGATTGTTGTTGAGGCTGAGGCACATACGCAGACATAGGACGGTCCCTGGTGGATTGGTTCGTTTCGTATGTTCCTGGACGGTTTAAAGAATTTTGCGAACCTCTCGAATTTTTCTGCAACTGCGGAGGATTTCTACAACGAACGAAGCGAATAGTAAGTAAATGATATGAAAGGGTAACCAGCAGGATACAAGGCTATCTACCTATCGTCCGAATGTTGAGATGGACTCTGTCCTTGCTTTGTGTCTTGGTTTCTGTAGATACTCAAATTCTGATAAAATCTTTCGGCCTCGTTACCCTGAGGGATATTCGAACCTGTTCCAGCATTAACATTTGGACCATTGTTACTAGTTGCCGCCTGACCAGGATTCAAATTCGGCGACGATTGTTGCCTACTCACGAGACCACTCGGTGGTAATGTTCCGATTCTGGTTTGGTCATGTAAATTATGACTCGAACTATATTTTATAATAAAAATTGTACAGATCAGTAGATAAGTTAAAATTCACGTGTAATATTCGGGAAAAAAAATTTACCGGGAACGCAACGATGTCGCACTGCTGATCGCAGTCATCGGTGGAGGTGGTTGTGTAACAGGAGGTGTAACACTGTTACTCGACGATGCCCTGCTGTAACCAGGGTTGAATACCTCGTGTTGCTGTTTGCCATCGGTTCCTACATCTGTTTTTAAAAACTACAATCAGTCCATTTGTTTATATAAAGTCAAATGTTCATTAATTGAGCAACACAACGGTAAAACAGAGGACAACATTAATTCAACATAAACAAGATGTAACAGAGGAAAAAAAAGCAGAATGGTATGGTTGAGTGTAATTTCTTAATCAAGTGTGATGCCTAAATTAGGCAAGAGTGTACCAAGCTAGTGAAGTGCAGCAATTGCCGTTCTTCGATCGTTTTCTACTTACTGTGCAATGCTGGAACAGACTTGCTGGTATGCATTTGCTGTTGCGGTGCAATTGCGTCGCGTCCAAGCCGCGATGGCAAGTCTCGTTCACTCATGCGACGAGGTCCTGCGATAGCCACATGCGGAAATATATGTCTATATAATAGTTCGCCACTTTTGTGATGAAGAGAAATTGAGAACAAACAGCGACTAGTTCGGCCAAAAAATTGTGTTCATGAAGCTATAGATTGCCATCGTGGGATCATTGCTAAACCAAGATGAAGATGTCTTGCGTGGTTCATGCAACGTACAATGACATTAATATTTTGATATTATTCCCCAAAAATTAGAGTCATGCATTGCGTATAATACATGCCTTGTAGTCCTTTAAACGGACGACTTATGCAATTGAACCTGCATTTATACAGAATTAAAAAATGAATCTAACATAAAAAAAGACAATGTATAAAATTGAATCCATGATGAAAACCAATGGAAGAAAATATATACAAGGCAACGTAGTGCATGGCCATCTCTATTATTGACTTTTAATTGCTTTCATGTACGTATCATGCACTTATCATTGGAACCACTAATTGAACGAAAAAATGCCTGTATATTGCGTTTAAAATTAAATTGTGGAAACAATGTTTGGAAAATAATAAAAATGTGCGATGTAAGTCGATGACCAGTACTAATTTCCACAACGTCGATTGTATTTGCAATATCAACAGGCACGTGTCACGCATTCCAAAAATTCGAAAGGGTGAGCTTAACTGCTTACGTAAGAAAGAATCGAGATTTGGACGAGTTTGATTTAATCTTGTGTACATCTCTCCATCTAGTGATCTTTCCCTATTTGCGCCAGACTCGTTATTAATTATGTGGACGATATTTTTGGCTTTCTTATTATTCTGTATAGGATTTTCACTCCTAGATCGAACACAGAGTTCGTTGTTATGTGGCCAGGAATATTTTCTGCCTGTTAATCTTAACTTGGTTTCGCTACGCGATAAATCTCGTACTCCTTTGAAGTTTGGATAGGAACTGGATAATTGCTTGACTGGATTATTATTGAGAAACAGTTGTTCTCTTGCGCTCTTTCTTCGAACTTGATTCCCTTCGGCCTGTACATTCCATGAAGATAGGAACTTCCGTATAGTCGGTTGCGCTATCATGTGATGTACTTCACAAGGAGATCCAATACTTTTGTTTAATAATACATAGGACGGAGATGAAGACAGAGACGGAGACGATGATGAAGAAGGAAAGGACTGAAAAGAATGCGGGGAAGTCACATTGTCAAGATTAGACATTTCTTTTAATTGTTCTATCACGTGTTGTTGCTCCAACAATGATAATTTTTGTTTACCGCTAACCGATCTTTTTTGCATATCACCTGATGTATTGAACGACTCATAAGCGTTATTTGTTTGTAACAGATCGTTTGTATCGTTTTCGATAGAGTTTATTCTGCTTCGTAAAACATTCTGTCGTTCCATTTTATTATTTCTCAAGTCTAACTCAGATCGATACTCCTTCTTTTCAATTCCAGTAAACCGGTTACTTTCACGGTTGTGCGTCGTGGCCGAAGAGAAATTAGGTTCTGAAACAAATTTCATCGAACTTTCTAATAATCTGATAGAGCTTAACCGTTGGTCGATCGATTCGACATCAGCCAATTTCGAAAAGTGTTTAGCCAAAGCTGCTACTCGACCGCATCCGAGACGTACTTCTTCTGGTGATTTCCAACACTTGTTCAGGCTAGACAAATCGCTTGATGTATCGCTATCTAGGCCAGACAATTCAAGACTTAATTCTGGCATGGTTACTATGGCAGCGTTTTTCGTTTTCCAACTTATCGTATTTATTTCGGACTTATCAATTTCCTTCTTCGATTCATTGCTCGATGATGATATCTGCATCTTTTCCTCGTTGCGTTTTTTGTCATGGACCTTTTCAAGTATAATTTGTTGTTTATTCTCTTCTATATATTGTTCTATATTCGATGTTTTATGATCATAATTACGCGGAAAATTTGTTACGACGTCAACACTATAATTATCTAGAATATGATCACTTTCCGATTGATGCCCGTTATACTCGTCCGACTTGAAAAACGTCACTGGTTCATCCGTTTGATCGATATACGGTATTGAATCAAGACATAAATTACCATATTTCAGCGATTCTGAGTTCGAGTCTAAAATTGATTGACTCGGTGATTCAAGAGAAGGTTCAGGTTGACTAATTTCCGTAGTAGATAACGTACAGTGGGTAGAGGTGTGCAACGTATCCGTCGACATGTTAAAATTACGAAAATGTGTACTATTATGACCACCATCGCTATTGCTATCACTACCATCACAATCACCACCACCATCACCAAAATTAGCATTGCCACCTACGGACTCGTTACGTTCCTTTTGTAAAGAATATTTTACGTCTTCATTGTTTACATTCTCGTGAATTAAAGAAGTAGTTGTTAACGACCACAACGACGAAGTTTGTGGAACATGCTGCTCGTAGAATTGATTCGGAATGCAATTAGACGATGAATTGACTGAATCGAAAACGCGATGATATTTCGCGTCCTTCGGAGGAAGATTCGCACCTGGTACTGGATCGATCGAATCGGCCTCGTGCTTTGGCACGTTCAATAGATTACCCATTGAGTGTGACGTAGATGGCTGCTTGTTCGTTTCCTGCACCGCTGAAGCTTCTAAGTTCTCGGACTTGGGTCGAATCTTGTGCGCTGCTTGGGAATAATCAGTTAGTGAAGCGTTAGTTAAGCGATCATGAATGTATCTCGGTATTTCACAAGACAAGGACACGACATTAAGGATAAGGAGACTTGTGTGACAAGAGGCCGGATAGCTATTGCGAGCGAGGATGATTTATGAAAGCATTGTTAAGCAAACATTCCGAGTTGCTCATTTGATATTCCTTATTTCGACATATTTGTTTATATCATTTGGTACACGCCCAGAGACCTTTGTTTCGCCAATATCGGTCCTTTTAATGATCGAAAGATACATACCTCTGGTCATTACCGGTGATGGTTGCGACAATAAAGTAGCTAAACCATGATATATGGCACCTTGTTTAGCAACTTCCAATGTTACTATTGGTCCGGTGCGTACCAAATATTCAGCAGCCCTAGGAATAATAAAAGTATAATCGTACGCTAGCATACATAGGATCATAAGAGATAAATTTGTATTTACGAAATCATTAACATTTCATGCTTACTTTTCTTGAGTAATTCCTACCAAACTTTGTCCATCCACTTTCAGCAGCTGGTCACCGGCTGTCAATCTTCCATCCTGAATACACATTGCAAACCAACAGATAAAGAACTGTTCGTATTTCTGTAAGACATCAAGTTTTGCAAAAACTTTTATTCACTTACAGCATCGGCAGCGCCACCCGCAACTACGCTCTTTATATATATTCCAAGCCTATCCTGACCAGCTCCCTATAAAATACCACAACTGAATAGAACATTTTCCAAAAGAGAATAATTTAAGCTAAATGTATAACGTAATATGTATCTGCGTGTGATAATCTACAAACCTTTGCCGCAACAATACTCAAACCCATCCCATTAGTCGATTTGTGCAATTTTATCACTTGTATCTCGGGTTGAGCCGTATTCGATCCTGTATGAGAAGAGTAGCCTCCAGATCTGTTACTCATCGCGCTTGGGCTACGGAACTGCTAGGATAAGATGAGTTTTTTCAGTGATCATTCGAAAATATCATTTGTTATAGCCATAATAAAAAGGATTTTTACATTATTATGATGGTCTATCATGTATATAGTCCAATATCCACTACTGGTAGGTTGTGGTGCCATGCGACAGAGACCGTCTCGTTGTAATGGCGCTAAAAATTCAGCTAATCCTGGCGGAACTCCGCGAATCACTTCGCAACTATATCCATCTTCGGGAAGTAGAAGCGCTAACGCAAGTGTAGGCTCTTCCTCAAGTCGAATCTCTCTGCCATCGGCACGTGCAAGCGTGTCAGCCACGCTTTCGGCTACCTAAATATGGATGTTCCGAATGCATAATAATGTTGAGCATACTTGAAAACTGCTTATGTCACGTTGACTTACCCTTACAACATTTTCAATTAATTCTGCTGGAAGTCTGGGTTCATCTGCGGCCGGTTGATACTTCTGCAACAGCGCTCTCACTTGCAGAGAATTTAACTTGAAACAGGTGGAACTCAATGTAGCGAGTTCTTCGGCATTGTATTTTGGTGCTTGAAGAAGGTGCGTCGCTTGCATAATTGTCGCTAAATGGCACTGACTTGCAAGTTCCAAGCCTTGTCTTTCCGCCCAAGTTTCAAGAGCATTTAGTCTCGCTTTCAATCGACGTCCAAACCATCTAACGCACAAGTTTGTATTCGAAACTAACGCATTAAATGCGGTTGCGTTTATCGTATGAAACAGATGGCTGAAGAGTTGTATCGTGAGGGCAGCATTCACTCTACATCGTCTAAGTAGTGTCATTGTACTTGAAAAGATCTGAAGAACTCCAGCTTCTTTGGCAGGCTCATCAGCATCAGCCATAAACTGGGACATCGCTGGTGCTAATTCCAAGGAAATGCATCTAACCAACGATGCAAATGCCGTGTGAACGGCGTCTGTCAAAATATCTTGTGCCCTTGTTGAAAATGCCCCCACGTGACGATCGTTTTTCAGCATATGTAGTAATTCCGAGCCGTTCGCAAGCCAAAGAGCCAAAGAGGATGCGTCCATGTATCGTTCCTATAAGCCATCCATTTGTTTCCAATGATTTTCAAATTGTAATAAACGAAACTCTTGCATTGTTTTTTAATCATTTCTCACCTGTATTACTCGTTGTATCATGGTAGCGACGTTCGCCAACATCACAGTCAGCCTGTGAGCTCTTTCTGTTGGTTGCAATTCTGGTCTGTAATGCGTGCTCGCACGATATCTCGCAGCTAAGTATAGTGTATACGTTGGAGCCAACTTGAATTGTGGTGCTGATGGTTCCACATCCGTGATGACCGCATGAAAAAAGGTTTCCTCCGTTTCCTCGAGAAATTCCAATACTGCTGGTAAGATGGGATCGGTTCCTCGTGGTTGCCGATCATTCTGCAATGTTCTATAAAAATAGCGAAAAACAATGTTACTTGTTATGATTACACATTTGAAATTTATTTAGTTATCTAGCGAGTTTCCTTTTCTACTTTACTTATAAGGTCCGATGTCTCGGCTTACCCTGTTCTTCGGCCCCATTGATTGAAAGAATCCATTTGTTACAGAGACTTCTAAATGCAAACGTGACAAAGGAAAGAAAACCGTTTTTCATTACCTGTTACCATCTCTGCTGCTGGTGAGACTGGCAGTTTCAACATTCCCATCAAGATCGAAAGTAGTTTCGTAATTGTGTGTGGATTCCGGCACTTGTGTCGAGTTTCGAGTATGACCAACAGCACCACCAGGTATGGACTTGCTTAGACTAGATGATTGAGAGGATTGATGCTCCTGGCTCGATTGGCTCTGACCCTGAACTTGATTCTGTCCATTATTTGGGGTTCCGGACATCGACCCGTATCTATCCACGTTTGTCTCTTGACTGGCCAAGTCTGGTGAGCGTCTACGGTACAAAAGCAGGCAGCGTGCAAGAAATAAAGCAACAGACCGAAGAAAACAAAAATCAAGTGCAGACAGAATCTCCTTCTGCTATTCTCCACTCCCTCTTTTATTTAACAGAGAAGAAGACAGAAATGAAAAGAACTCGTCACGCAAATAATATAAGAAGCGTGCTTGAGACGTAATGTATTTTCTATAGCTCCGTTCTAGATCTAATGAAATGCTGTCAGCTTATACGTACTACGAACAGCTTACTATATGATTTATCCTTCACATTCTTTCTGTTTTTATACCTTCTCATCCTATAATTTATTTATGCGCTATTACTTTCTCACCTGATTCTTTTTCCGCATTCCATTTTTTTTCTATTTCGGTGACCTTGCAATGCGCTTAATATGAACTATTTTTTCTAAACGATCTACTAAGAAGTTCGTACTCGCATCGCACGCATCAAAAAAATAATAAACAATACGCATACCGTTCGTAACCATATTCAATCTGTCTCGCAGAATCATGTCGCTGCCTGATACGTTCATCGGGTGCTGGATCGATGAACTTAAAAGTATGTAGTCTGCCAAATTTCACGATCGCCCCATTCTACATGACAAAAAGGGGAAAAAACAAAAAATAAACAAAAATGAACAAGTAAAAATAAAGGAAGTATACTCAGTTATATTATTTTCATTATTTCTCAAGTCTCAAGTGTTTCACGTACGTAGGTATCTTAACAATTACTGCATACCTGAAGTATTGTTGTCTGATGTATCCTCTGGTTGTTTACGTAAGTGTGAGCGTCTCTGGAGCAAGGCGTGAGAGTAACGATATTTTCGGTAAAAGCTATAACGCAATGTCTTGGCATGACAGTCGGTCCTGTTAGAGTGAGGGTTTGAGCTTGAACCGCTTGCGGACCTATCGGCCTTTCCGAACCCACCTCCGTCACATTTGGTTGCAACCGATGTCGTACAGCCGTTCCATTTGTAATTTCGCTGCCATCAGGATTCAGTTCCAGCAAGAACGGCAGTCTTTCGTCTTCATACCTGCGCAATACGTGTCTTTTCAACTAACTGTTCTACAATTCCTTACCACGACTTGCAACGAACCTGTTGTGGTCTAATTCGTTCCACTTGCCGCTTGGTTTTTTCTTCCGTTTCCGAGGCACATAATCAGCAGGTCTTCTTCTCACGTGGAACATAATGGAACCTGTTAACAATATCAAACAGGTATTACTACCCTTAACACGTAATTGCAAAACCAATTTTTGGCTTCAATTCCCATCTATTTCCTCTAGTAATAAGACATATATTATAATATATATTGTCACAGATATAAAATTTGATGTTCTACCCTTTGCGTGTTTATCTGACCTACATACATAGTGCACGTGCGTCGACATAACCGCGCCTTTTTACCTTGCTATTTCTAACGATCGATATCAACCGATTCACCGAATAACATTAGTCTCATTACTAAAACAATTGATCAAAAAATTCATCGAACTTAAGGAAACAACATTGAATTAAAACATATAATGCCACGGCTTCTCAATTTCAATAATTATAGATACTAACAAAATTCTATCCAAAGAAAAAATGAGACTTAAATGATATATATGCATGCATACAATATCAACAGTCATCGAAATGCATCGTATCGATCTATGTGATAATAGATCTATTTCGTGGTGCAATATAAAATATGCTTCGCAACAGTCACAAGTACATACAATAATCAAAGAATCCTCGCAAATAGATAACTATTATTTAGAGCAAGCTTAGAAATGCTTACGTCTAATTCCCCAATCCATCATCGTGCGTAAAATTCGTTGATTTGTTTAAACTGGTCCCTGAATATATTTATATGGTATGTGTTTACGCGTGCGCGTGTACTCGTCCGCGCCTCTGGTCCCCTTTACGATCGATCACTTCAATTTTGGTCCTCTATGTTTCACGTTTTTCTCCTTTGTAATTAAGACCGGAGAAAACAAATGGGTCAACTACGCATGCGAAATATTTCGCACCACATTTCCTATACGTTTTCCAATAGTTTACAAATAACATATTAAGTACACGTCGAAATAAAAAATCTCAGTTTCTTTACCAACTCGTATATGTATGTGATCGTTTACTGCTTGACATGCCCTAAACTTTTTCCGTTTTGTCTTTCAAGTTCAATAAATGCATCAAACGATACAGATAAAAAAAGAAAGAGAGAAGATGAAAGTAAACTAGACTCTCTAATTGACAGACTATTACTAGAAATAAATACCGACGTTTCACAGCCAGGTAGATTTAGGATTTACTGTCAACCCATTTTAATATATACGACGCACAACAGTGATTGCATCAAAATTGGAATTCCTCAACGTGCATCATTTGCTCCTTTACACCGTAGTTTGCAGTATTTTGTCACACAGACTGACGTATTGCATCGCGTAACAAGCAATAGAGAATGTTGTTTCATTCTGATTAGTAAGTTTCATATAAAGATTTAAATGCTCCTTGCAAAACGAAACTAAACTAATATTTGTTTTTTATAAACAAAACGCAATTTGCAATATGAACATTTATATCACGATTAACAGAAAACAATACTAAATACGTGAGAACGTTTCACGACTGAACTTATGCATTGCAGAAACGAGGGTTCGGGGGCGGTACTTCAGAGGCAGAAAAGCACGCGCGCGCGTTAGACCTATCGACTTATATGTACACGACGCGACGCAACGTGGCACGCCGCGCATAAACACTGTACCGTGTACTGTTGTATCAACGCTATGTGCAACTATTTCCAAATTTTTTGATTTTCGTAAATCTTTTTATTACCTCAAATTTGGTCACAGTATTCTTCAATAAAAACACTCGCACTTACCACGTGTCGATGGATGATTCATAAGAATGGCCAGAGGACATTCGTCATCGTCTAATATGTATTCTTGTTGCGTTCCTCCGTTATTTTCACTATTTACCTACATGCAGTATTTCAAAAAGACAAAAAAAATGTATATACAAATATTAAAAAATTCTCGCAATATGAACTACGATTTATTTAGCAATGCCGACTCTATTATAAATAACTTTCCAGATTTACGTAACGGACATTAAATTATGTTATGCAAACACAGAAAATTTGTTCTCGTTCTCACATCTAGAAAAATTCAATGATCGATGACGGTATGATACGTGTACGCAATATTTATTTTCTTCTAACACACAGTACACGTGCTAAGACTTAATGTGATACAACTAATACCTAGTAGTAAATAGAACTAAAGACTGACCTGAACAAGACAGTACTGCTGTGGATCAACCTTCTCTAGACCATATTTGGAAAGCATCTCCCGCACGACCTGAACCGCTGAATCTCGGACACTTAAGAGTAAAGTTTTATATGGGACATCCTTGCAGAGTGCTTCGCCGTAAATCTTCAACGTTCCGCCAGTATCGGGACCACCGTCTTTACTCCGGAATTGTTGTAATTTTCTCTCTAACTTTTGTTGACGTCGCCTTCTCATCACAGCTTCCGGATTTGAAATACTTCTGGTAAAGCTCGTTTCAGGTAACTCTAGACAATAATTCTTTATATTAGCATACAAACAATGTAACTAACTCAAATGCATTCACGAGTAATATCATTTACTCACCTGTATACAATTTTTCAGCTACTCCATTTTGATCGATGGGTGCAGCATTCTCGTCCTGTTCCAAACTCTTTAAGCGACTCAATTTTTCCTGCTTTTTCATTTGTTTCTTCTCGCGTTTACTCAACTTTCTACGAAAACTAGATCCATCGGAAGAAAAGCCGACACCTTGAGCGTTAGTCTTGTCATCGATTCGTCTTAACAAAAAACGCCCTTCACGGTCATCGATATGCCAATTGAGCTGCACTAACAATGGTTTTTCATCGAGGCCAAGTTTACGCTCTTCTATGAAAAAAAATAATAAAATAAACTATAAATTTAAACTTAAAATGTAAAGTTGCAGCTGCATGTTATAGTTATGCATATGTGTGTGAATATATACTTACCACCGTTTTCATGGATTTCGTAAAGAGCATACTCTGGAACTGAAAGCATTCGCATATCTGGACGGAATTTTTCAATAAGGGTTTCAATGACTGCTTGACTTGTCGCATCGGATGCCACTCTAATACATTTTGTTGCAACTTTCTGACCACTGTCTTGAAAATAAAATCTCATCACTCCATGAAACTCCAGATCCTTAAGGAAAGAAAATAAGTATTATAGCAACCACAATTTCGAAAGTAAGATCTTTGCTGAATGTCTGGAGAAATTATTTTTATAACCAATATATAATTTGTGATAGCTTACTTCATTTGGCTCTGAAAGCTCAAATAAGTCTAATCTATTAGCGTTCCATTGCTGAATGACGCCGCGCAATGCTTCACGCTCAGCCTTCTTATTCGCCAGTTCTGTGGCCATTCTGAAATAGAATAAATTGAAATATCATTAATATGTTCTTCCCATTACTGACTTTTTTCATTTTTATCCCGACATTGTACGTCCTTTAATATATCGCATACTTGTTTTACTATCCGTTACATCAATCAGCAATTATGCAATAATTACCCACTTTTTCGCAACTATATAATCAAGCAAAATTCAATTTAAACCTAACACACCTACGAGATATCTAAAGGCGTTCTTATCATTTATATCAACAGACAAATACGAGAGGAAAGTTATGTCAATAAACGAACGTGTTCTATCACATCGCGGTAATATTTGAAAGCTATCGTAATTTGCTCACATTATCAACATTGTTATTGAAATGTTAATTGAAAAATTGAAAGAATTGGTAATAAAAATTAGCAAATATGCATATTCTCGAAGTTAAACTTATCACCAGCATTTATCCTTAGTATATATATGTACTTGCGTATGTATTTGTACAAGATTATATAGCATAAGAGGCTTCTTACTCGAAGAGAAGCAGAACTTACCGAGAAGAAATATTTTCTAAGTAAGGAGTTACTAGCGTCGGGTGGACAGTTCTAACACATTTAATAAAGGAAAACTTTCAAAAAAACATACATGACCCTCCAGAATTGAGTAAAATCAAGATCACGATATGTCCGACAAGTTGCAATCGAGTCGAGTGAGTAACAAAGCGAAAGAATTTTTGTCACAATCGCCGAAGGAAAGAGATCGGTTCGAATCGGTTGCGATCGTCTCGACTCGGACGTCCTCGGCAATGATCGAACAAAATCGGATAAGCTCGGAGTGGAACAAGTCCAACGAGCAAATCGCATACCATGCATTCCGATCTTGTTCGACAGCACTCGGTCTTAAAACCATAAAAGCGCGCTCGAGTAATTCTAATACGCTCGAGTAATTCCTCCACGCACGATACACACCCCTACAACTTGCTGCCACCGATTCTCCGGAAGTTATTCCCCATACCAAATATAAGTGCATGCACACGTACAATTCTCTCTCCCAACCGTTCATGCTGCCAAACCTTTTACTCAGAAACACGCCTCTATAGTACACGCCACTAGGTATGCGATTTCATTACGCATTCTATCTTGCTGCTCATTTTTCTTACATACGTGTAACGATACACGTACTTAGACGCTTCATTAATAAATATGGATAAATAAACAAATGATTACATGTAATACTTAACATAAGATGTAACGAACGGACGCTTTGGCTACAAAATGAGAGAAAAGATTTATACGACTTCGTTTTATTCACTTCTTTCTCAATTAAATGAAATTCCAATTGAATACTGTAAACTTTTGAGAAAAGGTAGGTTTTGAGGAAATGCAGTAATTAGCAGATGGAATGCAGTAAATGAACGAAACTTAAGGATAGGATATAACACGAATATAAAATACACTTCAAGTGTCATGCTACTTACTCTTCTGAAACTGTCATTCTTCTTGTACCAAGCCAAGTGAAATGCAGAAGGCAATGAGGAGTAATGAGGACAATCGATGGTCCAAAAAACTGGACAAGTCGAGAACTAACAGAAGGAAGAACATATAAAAATTCCAAATTTTCCGGATCTACTTAGAAAAGACTCAAAGACAAATTTTCTCGGTAATACACAGAAATGGTCGTCCTTTAAAACTTTTATGAGACATCATTACGTTTCGAACTATCTTATTGGAATTTACAATTCAATAATATAATCCGAGTATACAATTTAATAATATAATCCATTAGCGAGAAGAACACTTTTGAGGCACAAGTCAACTTCACAAGTACTTATTATCCAACTGGCAAATGAAACATTTTTTCTGCTTGAATGCCACTTAATAATTTCCTATGAAATAAATTACGTTTAAGGCCGACAATTTTACATCAAAAAACTAAAATAACAAACGCCACACCCAAAGTTTTTTTGTTTTACACAATATTAAGAGCTGCGCGTACACCGATACCTATCTCTTGCCGCGTAATTACTAACTGACCGACACAATCGGACTCATAAAGCTTGGGCCTCAAGAGTGGGAGAATATTGTATACCTTTTGCTATAGCAGCAGTATAGCATTTTCTTCAACGACCCCTACATCTTTCTCTTTCTATCCCCCCTTCTGCAAACTATTTGTACCCCTACTTTCCTTTCACGTTATGTGTGTTATATTCACTGCCATCGCCATGCCATGATACATACAACCGATACAACATACAACACAACTTGGTCCGATCTGGTCAGATTCATACACTGCTTCGTTTAGTTCCATTCCATTCCGTTCCGTCCCATTATGCACATTTATCCGTTTCATACTGTTTATATTCAAAAACACTGCACATCTTTTATATTTGAAATAATAAATGGCAAATTTAAGAGTACAAAGAATCACGTGGCACTATAAGTGAACATAGTAATTGATTATAAAATATTGGAAAACGTTTCTTTCAGAACTTACTCGGAGTTTATACATATGCTCATTACACATATATCCAAGAGTGTTTTACTCATACGCCAACTTGCTAACTAATGAAATGAATCTAATTTTCATTGTACGGCTTCGTACGTAACATCATTAACACATTATACGATTAAATCCAGATAAACGAATAAAATACATTGGTAATGTTATAAATGAAAAACAAAACGAAAGGACTTATTATATCTCATATTTGGAATTAAAATAACAAGCATTTTCGGAAAAAATAAGCGGGTTTCCATTTTGTAACCATTTCATTTATTTCCATAATAACGTTATAGTACCATTAAGCTGCCGAAGCAATGTCAAAGGTGGATGCTTGTCTGGATAGTCTGTTTATTGCCGTTAACTAACCATTTCCTGCTTACTTCGTTCACAGGAATATAACAAATAAAAATGTACAGCCGCGTTTCTGCTCTCTAATTTAAGCATTTCTAAAAGAGACCTTTATATGTACTTTCCTCATCATCTATCTATCTTTCTATATACATATAAATATTCTAAAAACCAAATACCACTCACTGATTCATTACAAGATCGCAAGAAACACAAAATCTATATAAGTGCTGATTAAGAAAACTTTCGAAAAACTTTTACTCCTAAAAGACGAGTTATTGAAATTGTCAAGAACTCATATAATTGTGTTTCGCAATTTACATAGTCTCTTACAGTTACTCATCATGAAACTATGGGGATGAAATGAAATGAATGCTATCATGTTCGAAGCAATGGAGTACAGTTCCACAATGTATATCTACTGCCTGAACGTGCGCTAATTGTTTGTTACGGGCAGTGAACAAGTGTCTTACGAATAAGTGTCTCATGCATATTGGTCGATAAGTAATAATCCATTCGAAAAGTCCATAAAAATGTACTGGGTACTATCCATGCTGCTCTTTCAGTTCATAAGCTGCATATATTATAATGTTACTTACGTTAACCTCTCACGTAATCCTGTGTAATGCTCTAAGTAACTTTTATGTTTTCTTCAGTCTGGCACAATTATTATTTGTAGAAATTAATATGCATAAAATTTCCGATTTGTACTTTGTCCGTTGTAAGCAAATTGTTCAACTTATCACCTGACACTGAACACAACATTGCAGAATTGTTAATGCAAGATGCAACCAGATGCAACTACTGGTGATCTGATCAAAGTGACTATATACTCTCTCTTTTGCTGCACTGATCATGATTACTGACTGATACTTATTCCTTCGGTGTATAAAAAATTATCGTTGCGTATTCAGGCCACGCAGGAGCGTACTATTGAAAGTGAAGATATATAAATAATAAACTATATAATATGTCAACAATATTACAAGACGATCGATAATAAGTAATAAAAATTAAAGAAATAAAATAAGCTAAAAATAACACCGAACCTTCAACAACAATTCAATTACAATCACAGATTCCAACAGGTGTCGCTTCGCTAAGTTCGAATCTGATCCAACGGGAATAAATCTCGTAATGTAATCTTTCTAAGTGTTCTTTACTTACTTATTCCAACCATGTTTTTACATCATGACTTTTTAACAAATATGCATTTAAAATACTGTCCAGTGACATGTGTTATAGAAATCAAGAACAGGTGAGAATACGATAATTGTATCGTTGAATAAGGTTAATACAACGAACAATAAGAGTGAAAGTAAAATATATATATGTATTTAAACGTATAGATACATAATACATACCTCAATAACGAAGTTCATGTGGTGTGAGACTACATTGTGTACATTTTCTATTAGTAACAAATGTTTATTGCAGAAAATAAAACACATGGAGGACGATATCGATATTTATGAAGATTTACCGGCCTTTGGGACAGAAACCGATGAAAATGTAAATATTACGAAACACGTACTTTAAGATAGGTTAAGCTCAATCTAATGTAATGTTTTGTTTTTTATGTTGAACAATATTAGTTCACGAACAACAAAGAAAGCATTATTGGTGAACAACTGGAGTTAAAAAAACAGATTGAAGAACTTACAGAAAAAATAGCAAATTTCAAGAAGATTAATGAAAGTTTGGAAAAGAATTTATTTTCATTATTAAAAACTGCAAAAGCAGAAATTTCACGAAAAGATAGAATGATAGATGAATTAAAAAAGAAGTAAGTACTTTCAAAATCTGAAATTTCATATTCCACATTTGCAGAACTATGTAAAATTCTTAATACAGATGTCATTAATATAGGTTGGATGATATTACATTTAAAAGGCATATGTATCATAAAAATGGCAACAATACGGTCCATAAATCTACTTTACAAGAAACCACTGTAAATGCACATCATAAGTCGACGAACGGTTACTTTTCTCCTAATCAAAATACCATTGAAGCAGATGTTAATGATTCATATTATAGCCAAGTGAAAGATGAATCAAATAACAAGTACAGTTTAATTCCTCTTACCATTTTTGGTGAACGTGTAGCTAAAAGAATTGCTGATGAACAAAATTTAGAAAACAAAGACAATGTGAAAAAGTTTAACAATAAGAATGATAATAATAATGAGAATACAGAAGGATATATAATTGAAAGTGATAAAGAAAATGGTTCCTTAGCAGATACTAATATCCCTAATTCAACAGAAATCCAATCTCCTGTAATTACAATATACAAAGAAGATAAATGTGCAAAAAGTTCATTGGGAGCATCAAAATTAGATACAGTGAATGATATTCGACCCAATAATAATGAGATGTGTTCTAAGACAGAAGAGAAATCAATGCCAAATACAAATTATATTGGAAAAAGAGCACGGACAAATGATGAAACAAATAGACACGATTCTAGAAAAAGAATCAAATTAATCGAAGAGGACAGTATTACTGAAACAATAAAAACAGAAGTAAATACTAACATAGAATCTACCATGCATATTAATGAAAGGCTGTATTCATTATCAAATTCGGATACAAGGCATAGTTGGACTTCAATTAGACGCCCAGTTGAAGATTACAAAAATGAAGAAAGAAGAGATTCAAAACACAAGAGTAGTTCATTGCGTGATGATAGAGATACTGCAAAAAAATATCGCGACTTCGATGTTCCTAAAAGAGACGATTATCGATATAATCACAACGAATATTATAAAATTAAATCAAGAGAACGTGATCGCGCCGAGAATTATCATTGGTCGCGCACAAGAGCAGTATCGTATACGAATGTTTATCGAGAGGAACGATACGGTAGAATCCAACATACTAAGTATACTAGTCATGAAGACAAATTTCAGAAACGTTATAATTTTCACAGCAACAATATGGATAAATCTAAAAATTTCAAAGACGAGAAAGATTCCAGTAACACACGCAACGTGCCAAAATGTTGCAATTTTGAGCGCAACTCTATGGACCAGAAAGTCACTGAAATTAAAAGACATGATCGTTATAATGACTATGAGTCACAAAAAGCACGATCCAGAAGTATCGAGAGACCACATAAACAGAAAGCTAAAAATACAAGAGATTCTATCGAATGTTTAAAACATTCAGAATCGACAAATCGAACCATTGAAAAGGATGAATTAAATATTGAACGAATAGCACCCATTGTCAAAACAGAAGACGCACAGATAAAAAATGAACTACAAAATTATGCTGAGACGAAATTAGAACATACACCTGTAGAGTTGGAAGACGGTCAAATTTTTGATAGTCCTGAGAATAGTCCCTATAAAAAAGAACAGAATGGAAATAAAGTCTCAAATAATGAAGAATCTGTCCACAGAGAATTGGATAATCATCTTTTTTCCAACGTTAATAACTCGACATCTGTAAAAGCTACAGACAACAGTTTACCAATTCCAAACATTGAATACGTTTATTCTTCGAGAAGTACAGAAATTACTGAAAACATATCAAATAACGGAAGCATCGAAAACGTAGAAAATATTGAAAAATTCATTCACAATTGTGCTTCCCCACGTGATGAAGCAGGTAAGAAAGAAACAGTCACATCGGGTATAATTTGCGCGTTAGAAGGAACAACAAGAAACGATCTTGAAATTAACATTACTAACATTACGGTCGATAATTGTGACCGCGAAATAAATTCAGAGGTGTGTACTACATCAATCTCCAAAACAGAACCAATTGTATCGTTAGTTCAAAATCATCATGAGTTAGTAAAGGAATTACCGGATGAAAAATGTGAAAACACACTAATCACCGTATCTAAAGAAAATTTGATAAAAGATGATTCTTTATCACAAGTCACAAATATTAATATCGCACAAGAATCATGCGCTGATATCATCAGTACCATAGAGTCATTAAAGAAAACAGATAATGGAAAAACTGATGAAAGCTACGTGGACAATACCATTAATGATACAAGAAGTGATATTAAAAATGTTGGAAGTACATTACCAATGAGAACAGAAAACATGAATTCAAGCATTGTTACAGAAGCTAGGGTGCAAGAAGAACAAGAAGAGGGTTTAAAACAATCTAACAATTTGTCTGGCAACCGAAATAATGATAAGAATGTAAAAATTAAGGCTGTAAATGCATCCGGGAAAATAATTGTGCTTTTGCGTCGTAGAAAACCTGTGTGTTTGACAGATACCAGTGCAAATATGACTGTTCATGTAAATAACGAGCTGGAATGTGGCAGTAACCATAAATAGTCCCACAAAATCTAATTGCATAGTACAAGTCGTGGCCAGAACAAACGCACCTTGATCGAAAAACTGTACGACAATGGTAATAATAACTATAATTGTAATAACATTCAGCATTAATTTTCTATTTACATATAATCAGTAGTGTATAAAATGCATTAATAGGTATGTGGATTTAATTTTATTCTACTAGTATTTGTTCCTGCATACTATATATTGTTATTGTCACATTCTGGTCATCGAAAAGGTAGTATTATGTACAAACTTTTGTAAATAACATGTACATAATTTACATGAAGTAACAAATATTCAAATTGCCTTCAGCTTCATTTCTCATGTTATGAATTATTATATTAAAAAATGTTAAGTTAATTTTTTACACTAGAAATCAATTAAATGTTTATTTTCATTAGACATTTATATTTTGTCTGAATAGAAACGACATAACGTATAATTATATAAATGCATTATATTATACAATACTTGGCTTGACTTGTAATTAATAATAGTAAACAAACGGGGGTTAAACACCGGTGAGCACCGGCATCAAGGCAGAAGAAACCGATAAGCAGTCTCCAACAACGACGATTTACTTGACGTGTCTCTAGAAAACCTATCGTGAATTACGTTGTAGCTTGGGGTAAGAGGTAAGATGATGCGTCGCGACGCACAGCGTCCCAGCGACGCGGACGCTCTGCGCTGTCGCAGTCGGAATAGACCGAGCAGTACCGAAAGAGAAAAAAGAACAAGTATGAACATTGATATATTGTGTACACATAGTCGTGTCTAAGTAAGCAACACTCGAATAATTGTTTGAAACATTCTTAAGAATATGTTTCTAAAATCGGCAAACATGTATAGTTAAAGGCAAGGGTAAACAAGAAGAAAGGAACGGTGGAGAAAAGAAAGTAATGAAAAAGAGGATAGTGTACTAAGTGAACACTAGCCGCGCGTAACGAATTTGCGCCTACGAGTGATTCGTCCAGTCTAGATTCCGAATCGATTCTTCTCTACGTCTACCGCGTCCGTGTCGCAAGTTGTCGAACCATGGGTTCGATCGTACTAAAGTCTCTCTCAGTTCTCCTTGGAATATTCTTCGTTTTCGTCGGTACTATGAAGCTGACTTCTCACATTAGTAAGGATCTTCACAAGGACTTGGTGAGTACTTGACATACAATTATGTAACATAACTTACCCTACTGAGCAGTTAGCATTTGAGAGATTATTACCCTTCTTCAATATTAATTTTCGTTCGTCGAATTATTGATTTCCGACCAAATTTTAATGTTGCTCTATTATTTTCTCTTTTTTCAATTCTTGGTAACTGCGATAAATTTATTTTCACCTTGTCCACTGTGCTGTTTGTAGACTTCGCGTGATCGATATATCGCATGTTTAGTTTTACCTTGTTAGGACGATCTGTCAGTGATTCTTTCTTTTCCATCTACCGTTTACTTACTTCTTGTTTTTTTTTTATAAAAACTTAAGATATTCCGCTCAACATTACTTAGGTGTACAAAAATGTATAAATAAACTATTCAATTTGTACAGTTTGTCTATCAAATAAAATATAAACAAGGATATTATCATGCACGTGTTCGTATACATTGCACTTGCAACATAATATACGCACATAAAATTGTTTTTTTCCTTTTTTTCTTTTCATCTAATTAATCATCTCAAGAAACAAAACACTTTTTATGTTTGGCAATGTATTTAAAGAAAATATCTATGACACTTCTTAATATTCAATGCAATACCATAATATGTAACAAATATTTATTTGGATCTTGATTT